AGAAACAAACTCAAAAGATGAGACTAATGCAGAAAAGGACGTGTTTGCAGGCCCAAAATGTACAAATAACAACTGAAAAAGGTAAACTAATAAAATAAAATAAAAAATTGTTCACAACAATGGGAGTGCACCGGGCGAAGGCAATAGTTTTTGAAGAGACAAGAAGACACAATGTTACAAATTTACAATTTATGAGATGGAATATCTAAGTTGGGAACGACGAGATGAATAAAACTCAGTGCTTTGGGCTGACATATGTGCTTTCTAAGCGTTTTGAGGTCTTTTAGTTTTAATATTATAGAAAATTCCGGTATTTTTGTAATTTTTTATTTATTCATTTTTATTTGGAGCTAGGGTTTGGAAAGAGTATTTAAACAACTTTTGGTGGTTGTAATCAGACTGATCGTATTATTATCAATAAACCTCAGACTTTTCTCTTATCTTTGTTCTAGGATTGAATGCTGATTTTTTTCCTATTATCCTGATGCTCGTCATGTTTTGAGCTCTATTATCACCACAACTCAATCTAAATGGGCCAACCCAAATCAATAAAAAAACTGGGTTAGGTTGGGTAAATAATTCATCATTTACTGTGCCAATTCCATTTCTAGACAAAGAAGCTAATCATTTGCTTACATTACTTGACCATGACCATATTAATACCTCAATAGATGGCATTAGCAGGGCAGCATATCGAGGATCTCTTCCAACCATCTGTACTACTTCTTGATCACTCTCCATTCCCATAGCCTTCATGACCACCATAATAGGAATCTATAGAAATGGTTTTTGAAAAGGAAAGTAAATTACAGTAAGATATGACAGTCACAAGATACCATGAAACAAAATCTTAAATTTCTTGAAATGAAATGTGGCATTACAACCTTTTTGACAAATTGGTTAAGCATCAAATAGATCTTCTGATTTTCCATCTGAATAATAGTTTTGCTTTTTATTCTCTCTGAGCTGCTCGTAACAGATGCATTTAAACTAAAACAAAATGAAAGGTTTATGAAAAAATATAATTAGTAAAAATAATCAAAATAGAAGGGACAAAACGGTGAAATAAAGGTTCACCATCATCTTGATACATACCTCACCAAAAACGAAACCAGACTAGAATTCTATTTTATTTATAAAAAGAAGAAACCAAACTACTTCTATCTACCCCACGACAGCACCCAAATCTAATAAAACAACAGAAAATAAAATACCCTAAAGCCTGGACTGTAGACAGCGAACACCTGTAGTAAAGAAAAACAAAGAAAGAAGAACTCACTTCCCCTTCTTGTCCATATCAATGATAATCCTGTTTTTTGAAAGTTGTTCCTGCATTAAAAGCACCTGGAAGGGATTGCAGTGTCATCATATGCTGAAACAAAAAACTATGAAGAAAGAAGGAAATAAAAATAAAAAATAAAAAAATTGGCCATGTTTAGCCAGACTGCATAGAGGGGCTCAGCTCATTGTCAAATGGTTTCATTACAAGTTGTTAGTCCAGATAGAAGAAGCTTGGAACTCAGAGTCTTCGGGGTTGTTTACAGTACTTATTTTGTAGGTTCATAGATAAGTTCTCTCTCCCCCTTTTCTTGTGACAAGATTTGGAAGACTAAAAGTACCATCCAAGGTACAAGTATTAGTTTGGAT